TGATCCATCCCATCAGGGCACAATGACCCATCCCATCAGGACACTATGACCATCCCATCAGGGCACAAGAGACTCATGCCATCAGGGCACAATGACTGATGCCATCAGGGCACAATGACTCATCCCATCAGGGCACAATCACTCATGTCATCAGGGCACAGTGACCATCCCATCAGGGCACAATGACTCAAGCCATCAGGGCACTATGACCATCCCATCAGGAAACAATGACTCATGTCATCATGGCAAAATTACCCATCCCATCAGGGCACAATGACCTTCCCATCAGGGCACAATGATCCATCCCATCAGGGTACAATGACCATCCCATCAGGGCACAATGACTCATGCCATCAGGGCACGATGACTCATATCATCAGGGCACAATGATCCATCCCATCTGGGCACAATGACCCATCCCATCAGGACACTATGACCATCCCATCAGGGCACAAGAGACTCATGCCATCAGGACACTATGACCATCCCATCAGGGCACAAGAGACTCATGCCATCTGGGCACAATCACTCATGTCATCAGGGCACAGTGACCATCCCATCAGGGCACAATGACTCAAGCCATCAGGGCTCTATGACCATCCCATCAGGAAACAATGACTCATGTCATCATGGCAAAATTACCCATCCCATCAGGGCACAATGACCTTCCCATCAGGGCACAATGACCATCCCATCAGGGCACAATGACTCATGCCATCAGGGCACGATGACTCATATCATCAGGGCACAATGATCCATCCCATGTGGGCACAATGACCCATACCATCAGGGCACAATGACTCATGTCATCAGGGCACAATGACCCTTCCCATCAGGGCACATTGGCTCATGTCACCAGGGCACAGTGACCATCCCATCAGGGCACAATGACTCACACAATCAGGGCACAAAGACTCATATCATCAGGGCACAATGACCCATCCCATCGGGGCACAATCACTCATGTCATCAGGGCACAATGACCATCCCATCAGGGCACAATGACTCATGCCATCAGGGCACAATGACCCATCCCATCAGGGCATAACCCATGTCATCAGGGCACAATGACCATACCATCAGGGCACAATGACTCATGCCATCAGGGCACAATGACCCATCCCATCAGGGCACAATGACCCATCCCATCAGGGCATAACCCATGTCATCAGGGCACAATGACCATACCATCAGGGCACAATGACCCAAGCCATCAGGGCACAAATGACCTTCCCATCAGGGCACATTGACTCATGTCACCAGGGCACAGTGACCATCCCATCAGGGCACAATGACTCACACAATCAGGGCACAAAGACTCATATCATCAGGGCACAATGACACATCCCATCTGGGCACAATCACTCATGTCATCAGGGCACAATGACCATCCCATCAGGGAACAATCACTCATGTCATCAGAGCACAATGACTTACGCCATCAGAGCAAAATGACCCATCCCATCAAGGCACAATTACTCATGCCATCAGGGCACAATGACCTATCCCATCAGGGCACAATGACTCATCCCATCAGGGCATAACCCATGTCATCAGGGCACAATGACCCATCCCATTAGGGCACTATGACTCATCCCATCAGGGCATAACCCATGTCATCAGGGCACAATGACCTATCCAATCATGGCACAATCACCATCCCATCAGGGCACAATCACCCATCCCATCAGGGCACAATGACCCATCCCATCAGGGCACAATGACTCATCCCATCAGGGGGCATAACCCATGTCATCAGGGCACAATGACCTATCCAATCATGGCACAATCACCATCCCATCAGGGCACAATGACCCATCCCATCAGGGCACAATGACTCATGCCATCAGGGCACACTGACCCATGCCATCAGGGCACAATGACCATCCCATCAGGGCACAATGATTCACGCCATCAGGGCACAATCACCCACGCCATCAGGCCACAATCACCCATCCCATCATTGCACAATCAACCACGCCATTAGGGCAAAATTACCAACGCCTTTAGGGCACAATGACCTTCCCACCCCGATCTCGTTAGTCACCTCTTACGACAAGCATGTGTTGCTGAAGATCAATTCTAACCCGGATCTTCACTGGTCAATAATACATTAGATGATAGTACACAACCATCCAGGTCACAAGAGATTTTTCCAGACGGTGTCCAATAGATGTATTGACCACCACAGCTGCCTCTGTCTGGTGCTGACCAGTTGTCCTCATCTGTTGTTCAGGTCTTCTTGTTGCGGGGTAGCCTAGTGGTTAAAGCGTTCGCTCCTCACGCCGAAGTGCCGTGTACGATTCCCTAAGGGGGTACAATATGTGAGGCTCATTTCTGGTGTCCCTCGCCGTGATATTGCTGGAATATTGCTAAAAGCAGCGTAAAACTAAACTCACTGACACACTCACGCCATGTCCAACTGGTGTTGGCTATCATATTTTACTACAGCTTGTCTCAATATTTTAACAAGGCATCGTGCACGCCAGTATTTCTACTAAAATCGATTGTGGCCACAAAGCGCCATTACTTTTGACATGCTGGACAAACGCATGTTTTCTGCTTTAGGTCCCTTAATTTAGAAAGTCAAAGACTGCAGGTTCAATTCTGAATTATTTTAAGACTTAAGTAATTACGTTTAGAAAATCATATATCTACTGCCGCAGACGATAAAGACATGAAAGTTAATAGTGCACATTTATGATGTCAATAGTACATATTTATGATGACTACACATCGACGCTCGCAAGCAGGCTCAAAGTGCCAACACATTATTACCCCAGATAACCCAAGCTGCCTGCGAGGTGCTAGAAGGTTATAGTAACATGACTTATCACACCGGGTACCCATTTTCTGCTGGGTGAACAGACAATTTTGAACAAACTCACTTCCCCCAAGGTGAGACCACATGTATCACATGTGCTTCGTTGTGGGGCAGGACTGAAGTCCTAGAAACTCTCAGGAGTCAAGCTGTCACACACGGTCACCCATCCAAGGACTCTCCGCGCCCAGCGTTGCTTAACGTCAACTGATTTGTAATCTGAGCTCTATGCACAGGACACCACACCGCCAGGTTTACATGAAAGGTGAAGAACCTTACGAAGAGTGTACTCCTTGTTTTACTCTACACGCAGAGTTATTCCTGTTTTGTTGCTGTTGTTGTAGACCTATTTTGACTTGCAGATTCAAATTAGAAAGTATATTGGTTGCAGATCTATTTAAGAATTCCTTATTGGTGTTTACAGTTTGAATCGTCACTTCCGGTATCGAAAATGAGGCTGCCTTTCTGACACAACTTAACTGTCACTGTGGTTCTAATTATACCATTTGTAGCCTGGTCTTCAGGTATGTCAGTCACTGTTTCGGAAATTGTATCTATCAATGGAAGACATCCCTCAAGGAAAGTCATCAAGTTTGCTTTTACCTATATTCCAGAAATATCACGGCGGGGGACACCATAAATGGGCTTCACACATTGTACCCATGTGGGGAATCGAACACGGGTTTTCGGCGTGACGAGCCAACGTTTTAACCATTAGGCTCCCCCACCGCCCCTCATCAAGTTTGAAAATTCCGTGGTTGTAGTAACTGCTCTTAAACAAAATACATTTACATATGTGTAAAAAATATAGACAAAAGGAAAACAAAATAAGACAAATTGTGCTCCATCCATGGATTATTTATTCTTATTCATCCTATTTCAATCAATCATAATAGGACAAACGAATATATTAAGATGTATTTTCCGTGGCATCCATCGCGTCACCTGAAAAGATAAAAAATACATTTAAAAAACACAATTTGACATGTTTAACATGATTAAATGTTACAAGAAAAGCATGAAACACTGTCGTGATAACTTGTTTGAAAGAGACAAACCCACGGGTTTTCGATCAGCCTAAATGCTTATAATTGGGACCAAACCCATTGGACAGCGTATTATCTGTGTTTGTTTCGAAAGAAACGAATGAAACAAAATTCATTGTTTCCATACCAACCACAAAAAATGTAATACGTAATCTAGCGCTTTGTGACATGTTGAACCAATATCTTATCAAACTTTAATTTGTTTTGTAAAATGTCTGTAACATGTGCTGTATATATATTTGTATTACTTATATATGTGCCAGATGTCTGAAGTACAATAAACATTTTGATCAGTCGGACGTGATTCCATGTCTTATCTGCGTTGTTCTGGTATATATTCCCATAAACCGGAAGCGAATTAGACCACGCCTACTTGCAGATTCTTCTAGTGTTCTGATTGGCTGATAAAAGAGTGGGCGGAGAATGTGTATCGGTTGCTCCCAGTCATGATTAATTATTTACCGGCTGTCGTCACCATAGGCGCGCGACTCTGATATATTTATAAGTATGACCTATATATATAATATATAAGAAATGTGTGTCAGTAAATCGAAACAAAATGGCGGCCCGGCTCGGTTCGGTTTCGTTCTGACAAACGCTTCAATCGCTTTGACCGTTGAATAAACTGCACAATTTATACTCAGTTGACCTCTGTAAAGTACCTTGCGTATCACTAACCTGGTGATTTTATTCCCATTTGACGCTTTCATTAATTTTGCCGTCCATTCTCGTACGAAGTCAGGACATATGCCCGGAAGTAAACAAATGTCAGGCTACAGACACCCACCGAATAGTAGAGCGAGTCTCTGATTGGTGAAATTTCCCACCTCTTTTCACGTGCAACTATATTATTCAATCGGAGACTCGCTCTACTATTAGGTGCGGGTCTGTTATATCTTATATATATAGGTCAAACTTATAAATATATCAGAGTCGAGCGCCTATGGTTGTCACATAGCAAGAAGTATTAAACAACAAGCTAATGTTGCTCGGGAAAAATTTCTATCCCTGAGGGACAAAGGTATTGCCTAATGCTTAAAGCGTTAGCTCGTCAAACAAAAGGCACGGGTTCGACTCCCACATGGATAAAATGTGTGAAAGCCATTCCTGATGTCCCCCGCCGTGATATTACGGACATATTGCTAAAACCGGCGTAAAACTCACTCACTCACTCTGAGCTTTGAATTGAGCTCAAGGTTGTTACTTACTTGAGTGGGATCTGCTTGTATTGTCTGATGACAGGATCCTCTTCATCAACGTTCAGAATTAAAGAAATATCTCGTTGGGTCAGTCGAGTCTTCGTCAGTAAATCCCTTAACGCCTGGCATTTGTTGGCGTTGGTGTTGGTGTTGCTGGGTCGGCGTTGTCGTGGCACCAGCTTTAGTCGGCTCCTGTTCCACCACGCGTCACTGGCTGGCAACAGCAACAACAGCAGCAGCAGCAGGACCAGGGCTTGCCTCATCATCTTTGAAAACAATAATACATCTTTGTTTATTTTATGTTCAACGCTACAGACATATTCAAGATATGTGACAGCGGTCAGTAAATAGCCTCGTCTGGGACCAGGGTCGGTAGGATAGCCTCGTTGTTAAAGCGTTCGCTCGTCACACCGAGGTCCGTGTTCGATTCTCCATATCAATACAATGTGTGAAGTCCATTCGTGGCAACGCAGAACCCTATGTCCTCATCACCCTGTGCACGGTGCCGTAAAACTATACTCATTCACAAGTCAGTCTAGTAACTGATGTAATGAACATCAATGTACACAAGAAAGACACATTTTTATATCTGCTACAATGAGAAACATATGTAGTTATTAATTAAAAAAGACATTATTTGTAAAAGTTTGGAATCAAAGGGTAGTTTCCGCAACATATACCAGTACATGACAACGATACCATAAATGATACAGACGGTAGGTGTGGCCTAGTGGTTAAAGCGTTCGCTTGTTACGCCGAAGACGCCAATCACCGGATTGGCTGGTCCATACTCGATTATTTACAGACCGCCGCCATGCAGCTCGACCGCCGACAGGTGGAATTTTGCTAAATACGGCGTAGAACAACCAGCCATCAACTCACCAGGCAGTATATGCATGGCAGGGACAATATAGACTTACGCTTTCATGTACCAGAGAATGGTTTGTTTGTTTGTTCGTTTGTTCGTTTGTTTGTTTGTTTGTTTGTTGTTTAACGCAGCACTCAGCACTCAGCTACTCTAAATCACGAATATTCCCGCTACTTTAACTCACGATTTTTTTTTTTGCGAGCATGATATTTCTGCCAAAGTTGCGAATGACTTGAGCTCGCAAATATATGAATATGGCCGGGGTCTGTAAATAATCGAGTCTGGACCAGACAATCCAGTGATCAACATCATCAGCATCGATCTACGCAATTGGGAACCGATGACATGTGTCAATCAAGTCAGCGAACCTGACCACCCGATCCCGTTAGTCGCCTCTCACGACAAGCATGGGTTACTGAAGATCAATATTCTAGCCCGGATCTTCACGGGTTTAAAGAGAATGCTATTGTGATAGACAGTTATATGTTACAAGACTTTCATCGTGAAGAGGTTTGTGTAAGAAATATGAATGACACTATGCAAAATGTTTTTGAAGTATTTATATATGGGTCCTTTTCAAAATTGGTAGGATTTTCTGTCCGTTCCAAATAAAAAAACCTCTGTTAACTTAAAAGGATTCTTTTGTGCTAGAAAACCTATTTAGATGTTTACTAGTCAGTACATGTGGTATATCATTAGTCTTGTCATTTTGAAATTTATATTTAGCAACATTTTAGGGTCAAAATTGGCAGATTTGCTCTGTCCGGAGGTGACGGTCCTAATATCAATGTTCACAAATAATGTAAATATAAATGCAAATAAACAAACTAATTCATATTATGCCAGTTACGATTGATCAAGCATACTCAAACTGCATTTAATTTTGTTTTAACTTAAAAAAGGTTTTTTCTACAAACTGTAACATGCTTGTCCTGTGATTTTGTGTCCTGACCGTTACCAGTGTATGAAATTCCTGCAATAATTTCCCCCTGGAGCTGGATTGAAATTCAACTTCCTGTGTGTGCTTGAGCTAGTCCCTGTGCATGTGACAGCAGATGAAATAATGAAATTCAACACATTTTGCAGAAAACTGACACCATCAAATAAGTATAAATGTTATGTGTCAACCTTAATTGTCCAGACCGTTACCAATGTATTTTGTGTCAAATATATCTCTTTGTTTTTTTTAAATTTCAATGGATATATTGCCCAGAAATGGAAAAGGTGGAAGGCATGTCCTTTGAAATCTTTTAGGGATCATTCATTTGTTTATTTTAGATTTACTTACAAATTGTCTTGACCGTTACTGTCCAAACCGTTACCATTTTGCAAAGTAACGGTTTGGACAGTCCTTGTAACGGCCTGGACAAAATGATTTGTATTTCAAAAAGTTGTTCATTAATATTTGAAATATAACAAATTTATAATTACTTTTAGGGTTAAGATAAGTTTAAGCATGGGATTTTACTGTTCAAAGGAGTTTTGATGTAGTAGCAGTAACAGTCTCTAGTAACGGTTTGGACAAATAATAGTAACGGTCTGGACATATCTTTAATAAATTTCTATTTTAAAGAATATTTTCCATGCTGTGATAATAATTTTCTGTTTACTTATCTATCTGCTTTAAATAATAAAAACCAAAACGAATTTATTACGTTAAGTTTCTATTTTCTATAAGATCTATAGTCTTTATAAATTAAAGGTAACGGTTAGGACATCTATGGTAACAGTTTGGACAAAATGTAGTAACGGTAAACAACTTTCAGTATTCCAACCTTTAAAGATTTTTTGGGTGTAAACTGTTTTAACTTTAACTGTGAGATATGTGAGGCTACCATTTACTTTGAATATTTGCTAGGTGCTAATATGTTGGCCAAACCTTTGTATTTGATAAATATGTGTTACCATCTCACGATTAACAAAAACTAAAGGTATCAGAGTGAATGAAAGAAGTATATAGAAGGAGACTAATATTGCACCATAATATCAACAGCAAAATGATATCTATGCAGTGACCTGTGTAGCATGACCATGTGTACAGTATCATAGTTGTTGCAGTATCTTGTAGAATTTAATCTTTTGCAACTTTTTAGAGGGATAACATTTGTTTGTTAAACTGATGTCCTGACCGTTACCAATAATGTCACAACCGTTACTATTCATTCAATTTTCATTCTCCAATTGCACTCTTCTTTAGATTATAAGTGATTTTCAACCTAGACAGGTGTGTTTTTCTATTCTTTAGAAGCTACAGTTTGTTGTTATTCAAAAGCCTAAATTCATTCACAAGTTTCATATTGATATAACAAATGTCCAAACCGTTACCACAGCATGGAAGAAAACATGTCACATTTGTTACAAGTTAAAATTTCTAATACACATTTCACTGTCTGTCCAAAATAGGGTTAGCAATTGAAGTAAATGATATCATTTTTTTCCTTTCATGTTACCTGTTTCTATGTTGAATTATTTTTTTTAAGGTTTATGTCCAGCCCGTTACCATTCCTGTCCAAACCGTTACCACTATTGTCCTAACCGTTACTGGTGTTAATTGACTGCTGTAATAAATTCATGATAATACATGAAACACTCCTCTTTATGCTGGTGTCATCAAAAGATGTCCTGGGCTTAGAAGCTGATGTTTATTTGAGACAATTTTACCTGTTGAAAGCTATATGCATAATAATGTTTTAGAAAAATGCAATTATTTTGTGGTAAATAAATGAAAGATACAAAATAACACTTTCAAGATTCATGATAATAGTTTTTACCTTCAAGTTTGATTAAGTCTGTGTAAAAGCTGTGCATGCCATCTTTAAAAGATTTTTATGAATTATATTTCAAAATCCTTATTCTGATTAAGAAATGGTAACGGTCAGGACTTTCCCTCACCCTATTAATTACTTATATATCAAGTAAAAGGCCAATTAGTAAATTTGAGCCTGCATGTTTATATTATTGAATAATTAAGTATTTGAGATTTCATTTGAATAAAAACTAAATCAATTTTCAGGAGATATTTTATAGTGTTTTTTATATGTTACGACAGTAAATAAACTGTTTATATAATTTCATTTGTCTATTTCACCACACGTTCTTCTTACCGAGTCACTTTCTCAGTTCGATACTTAAAAGCAATGTCATTATTTAGCTTTGACACAATTTCTAACTGTGATATAGATATGTCGCTGTCACAGACAAAACTCATGTCTTGTTTTATTGACACCTGTGTGTCTGCCTGTCTGCTAATGACAATATTCAATACACAACTGTGATCAATGAACTTATTTGAACTTACATGCAATTGAACTTAACACCAATCAGGCTATACACTATAAACAAAACGCATTGATTTATGGCCCGAGTTCGGTCTCTGTCACATTATGTAATTACACAGACAGGCAGGTGTGATACTTGAACACATGACATGTTATGATATCTGTTGATTGCAAAATGTTTTACACAAAAAATGAGCATGTATTTACAAAACCCAACATCTCTCTCTATATATACACACAATTAGCCGTGAAGGCATCTGCAAATGAACCAGCCGTTACACTTGAGTGCACACCCACCCGCTCTGACTGGGTTCGGTATGCCGGCTGCTTCGTTTCTTGTGAAGTAAACCCAAGTACACAATATTGCACTTTTGATTTGCGATTATACGCTTATAATTTTGTTTATTTGTTTTTTTCATAATCATCAATGCATATTATATGTCATGAAGAAGTGATAATTTTGTTTTAATTATGTTTGATCTTTTGGTTGCATGTGACCTTTAAGTATTTAGAATTTCGGTATGTTCCCCAGGGAGTTGAGAATGACATCCTATGATCGATGAAAAAACAAATTACCTGTGAGCAGCCTAGCTGGAACTCGGCGCTTTATAAATAGATTATGAATTGCCTAACGTTTGTCAACAAATGCAAATATGTCCCGTCCTTTTTTCACTAATTTAGTTCTAAAATATACTCTTTAAAAAAGTAAGGAACCTAATTATTAATTTACGATTAAAAATATTGTGAGATATATCAGAGTCAATCAATATTGATATGATAATAATGAATGTTTTCAGCGTGCATCGCGACTTGCACTTCCTTTTGGCATATAAGCACTATAAAACCAGCTTTAAAACCAAATCTGGGCTAGTACAAGCAGCCGTACATACACACGCATGCACGTCCTCATATGAGCGAAATATTCTCAAGTGCGACGTTTAACACAATTTCACCTCACCTCACCTCTTGAAAACCGTCTAAATCAAGAATGACACCCCATGCACTTGTAATGGCCCTTTGTGCACGTGCATCCCATGCGTTGTGTTTAGGGGAGGTGAAAAAGAGGAAAGATGCTGCTTTCAAAAGATGTCGGTCTTTGAAAAATTTGTTAATACTTGTACTTCCTATCCAAATTGTAAGTTCAGGTTCCCCTACATTTTTTAAGAGTATACGTAAAGTGGATTACTGTAATGTTAAAGAATAAATAAACGCTAGATACTTACTTTGGTTCTTGATACCCTGCGAGACTGACTGGTATGGCTTACAGCGTTCATCTGTAACTAGGTATACACCCTACAATCATGGCATAGTGTGGAAATAGTTATTGGTTCAGAAGGTGTGACGATCCGTGTTGCTTATGTCCGTTCACTTGGTGCGCGATATGAAGCGTTGATGCAGCACTTCCTGGTGACGGAACAGCTCGTGTATCAAACGTGTTGCATGTAATAATGTACCCGTAAAGATCCGGGTTAGAATTGGTCTTCAGCAACCCGTGCTTGCGTGAAAGGCGACTAAGGGGATTAGGTGGTCGGGCTCGCTGACTTAGTTGACATATGTCATGGTAACCAAACTGCGCTCGATGCTTATGCTGTTGATCACTGGATTGTCTGGTCCAAACTCGATTATTTACAGACCGCCGTCATATAGTTGGAATATTGCTGAGTGTGGCGTTAAACAAAAAAAAACAAACAAACAAAATGTTGTAACCAGGGGAATTGAGCAGAAAAATGACGACCATTTTGTTTATGACGTCATCACACAGGTTGAAGAACAAACGAACCAAACAACATGTAATAATTACAAACATATATGGAAATAGCTCCAGCAACAGTCCCTACAAAAATCGAAAATTCAAAAAGGTATATAAATCCTTATGCCAACCTGATCTGAATACGTATGTGAGTTCAGTTCAGCAATATTTAGCAATATCACGGCAGTGGACACCAGAAATGCTGGGAATCGAACCCGGGACTTAGGCGTGACGAGCGAACACATTAACCACTAGGCTACCCCACCCCCATCTAAATCTTTGGGATGCAGAATGCATTTTATATTTGGACTGTACCGAAAAAATTGATCTTCCGCATGAAAAGTCTTACCTCACAAAATCCCTGAAAAGAAAACAATCAGACCTTACGTTGGAATCCTTTATGGTGGGTGAACCGAGTTATATTTGTTCCGATTTTGTATCCCAGTCATTTCCATCTATACTAAAAGGCGAGGATTACACATCGTTTGGAATTATGGCTAAGAATCATTAATTGAATTGGTATTTGATCTGTAGTATATGGAGGGCTGTGGGGTAGCCTAGTGGTTAAAGCGTTGGCTCGTCACGCCGAAGACCCGGGTTCGAATCCCCACATGGGTACAATGTGTAAAGCCCATTTCTGGTGTCCCCCGCCGTGATGTTGCTGGGATATTGCTAAAAGCAGCGTAAAACCAAACTCAGGTCAGTCTGTAGTATATGGAATTGGTTTTCAGGAACCCATGCTTGTCGTGAGAGGCGATGATCGAGTGGTTAGACTCGCTGACTCGGTTGACACATGTCGTCGGTTGTGTAGATACTCATAATCTTGAGCAATTGTGCAGCTGATGATGTCAATCACAGGATTGTCTAGTCCAGACTCCATTATTTACAGAACGCCTTACACAGCTGTGATATGGTGGTACACAAAAACAGTCGTCTAACAAGAACACATTCGACTAGTGTATGGAATTATGTAGATATATATCATCATCATCATCATCATCATCATCATCATCATCGTCACCATCATCATCACCATCATCATCATCGGAGCGGTGGGGGTAACCTAGTGGATAAAGCCTTCTGTCGTCATGCCGAAGACCCGATTCCCCACATCGACAAACAACACACAACACCGGGACAGACCAGAATAGATTGTTGCTGTTTGAAAACGTATTCGAGTAAGGAACGTATTCGAGTAACGAACATATTCGAGTAAGTCTATCTATTCTACCTCAGGAATATGTTCATCTAATCAATCTTCACAGATGGAAACCAAGGATGGTGACACAGTCGCCACTGCGATTGGATCCAGAACAATATCTTCAAGATTACAGGATGGCCTCTACAGCAGAGGTCACTTCCATATTAACGGCTCTAAAATTATACATGACAAGTCTATATATACACGGTTCATCATATTTTAGACTAATTTTCGTGCCTTCAGGCTATTAAAGACATCCACATTGCGGGGACACCAGAAATGGGCTTCACACATTATACCCATGTGGGAGTTGAACCCTGGTTTTCGGCGTGACGAGCGAACGCTTTAGTCATTAGGCTACCCTACTAGGGGCGGGATATTTATTATAATGCATAGTGGATTAATCCCTAGATTTACCAGGATATACAAATCATTGTTCCACCTGCTCTGCAACATCATGACGTCACCACTAGCTCTCCGGGCCGGTCTGCAACATCATGACGTCATCACTAGCTCTTCGGGGCGGTCTGCAACATCATGACGTCATCACTAGCTCTTCGGGCCGGTCTGCAACATCATGCTGTCGTCACTAGCTCTTCGGGCCGGTCTGCAACATCATGACGTCATCACTAGCTCTTCGGGGCGGTCTGCAACATCATGCTGTCATCACTAGCTCTTCGGGCCGGTCTGCAACATCATGACGTCATCACTAGCTCTTCGGGGCGGTCTGCAACATCATGACGTCATCACTAGCTCTTCGGGGCGGTCTGCAACATCATGACGTCATCACTAGCTCTTCGGGGCGGTCTGCAACATCATGACGTCATCACTAGCTCTTCGGGGCGGTCTGCAACATCATGCTGTCATCACTAGCTCTTCGGGGCGGTCTGCAACATCATGACGTCATCACTAGCTCTTCGGGGCGGTCTGCAACATCATGCTGTCATCACTAGCTCTTCGGGCCGGTCTGCAACATCATGACGTCATCACTAGCTCTTCGGGGCGGTCTGCAACATCGTGACGTCATCACTAGCTCTTCGGGCCGGTCTGCAACATCATGACGTCATCACTAGTTCTTCAGGGCGGTCTGCAACATCAGCGACGTCATCAATAGCTCTTTCGGGGCGGTCTGCAACATCATGCTGTCATCACTAGCTCTTTGGGGCGGTCTGCAACATCATGCTGTCATCACTAGATCTTTGGGGCGGTCTGCAACATCGACGTCATCACTAGCTCTTCGGGGCGGTCTGCAACATCATGACGTCATCACTAGCTCTTCGGGGCGGTCTGCAACATCATGACGTCATCACTAGCTCTTCGGGCCGGTCTGCAACATCATGCTGTCATCACTAGCTCTTCGGGCCGGTCTGCAACATCATGACGTCATCACTAGCTCTTTCGGGGCGGTCTGCAACATCATGCTGTCATCACTAGCTCTTCGGGTCGGTCTGCAACATCATGACGTCATCACTAGCTCTTCGGGGCGGTCTGCAACATCATGACGTCATCACTAGCTCTTCGGGCCGGTCTGCAACATCATGCTGTCATCACTAGCTCTTCGGGCCGGTCTGCAACATCATGACGTCATCACTAGCTCTTCGGGCCGGTCTGCAACATCATGCTGTCATCACTAGCTCTTCGGGTCGGTCTGCAACATCATGACGTCATCACTAGCTCTTCGGGGCGGTCTGCAACATCATGACGTCATCACTAGCTCTTCGGGCCGGTGGGATAGCCTAGTAGTTAAAGACTTCTCTTGTCACGTCGAAGACCCGGGTTCAATTCCCCACATGGGTACAATGTCTGGTATGGTCTCCCCACCGTGATATTGCTGGAATATTGCACACATATGGAATATTGACTCACTCTCTCACTCACCCAGCCACCGACCCACTCGCTCGCCAGCCAGCCCGCTCGTTCACTCTCCTCCCTCCTCCCTCCTCCCTCCCTCGCTCGCCCACAGAGCCCACTCACTCACTCACTCACTCACTCACTTCACCAAAGTTATGGGATTGAGTGAGTTTAGTTTTACGCCGCACTCAGGAATATTCCAGCTAAATAATCGAGTCTGGACCAGACAATCCAGTGATCAACAGCATGAGCATTGACCTGCGCAAAAGTGTCAACCAACAACGAGCCCCACCCGGCCCCTGTTAGTCGCCTCTTACATCAAGCATGGGTTACTGAAGGTTCATTCTAACCCGGACCTTCACGGGTCACCAAAGTTATGGAGCTACGCTTCAACGTTACATTCAAACGCTGTGATATGGAAGAACGACAATCCGGATATATCAACAAGCTGACGGTGACGGTGTCGATGCTGATGGTGTGTAAGACAATCAGCTGGCACCATCGCTGTCCACATGGACGACTCCGTCACGATGTGCTGCAACCAGTCCCAGGTGTTCTCCTCATGTCGAGGTGGGTATCTGGTGCATCAACTGTACACGGAACCGTGCTGCGTGGCTTGGTTTGTTTGTTTGTTTGTTTGTGTGTGTTTGTTTTGTTTGTTTGTTTGTTTGTTTGTGTGTGTGTGTGTTTGTTTGTGTTGTTTGTTTGTTTTGTGTGTGTGTGTGTTTGTTTGTTTGTTTGTGTGTTTGTTTGTTTGTTTGTGTTTGTTTGTTTGTTTTGTGTGTGTTTGTTTGTGTGTGTTTGTGTTTGTTTGTTTGTTTGTTTGTTTGTTTGTGCGTGTTTGTTTGTTTTGTGTGTGTTTGTTTGTTTGTTTGTTTGTTTGTTTGTTTGTTTGTGTGTGTGTGTGTGTTTGTTTGTTTGTGGTGTTTGTTTGTTTGTTTTTGTGTGTGTTTGTTTGTTTGTGTGTGTTTGTTTGTTTGTTTGTTTGTGTTGTTTAACGCCAAAATATCCAGCATCTGTAACAAGAATTCGTTTATTTGTTTGTGTTGTTTAACGCCAAAATATCCAGCATCTGTACATCTGTAACAAGAGTTCGTTTATTTGTTTGTGTTGTTTAACGCCAAAATATCCAGCATCTGTAACAAGAATTCGTTTATTTGTTTGTGTTGTTTAACGCCGGGATGGACTCAACTACAAAACACTAAAATATTCTATCTATGTGGCGGCGGTCTGTAAATAATCGAGTCTGCACCAGACAATCCAGGGATCAACATCATGAAAATCGATCTACGCAGTTAGGATACGATGACATGTGTCAACCCAGTCAGCGAACCTGACCACCCGATCCCGTTAGTCGCCTATTACGACAGGCATGGGTTACTGAAGATCAGTTCTAGCTCGGATCTTCACGGGTCTAAAGAGAATGCTTTTGTGACAGACAGGTAAAACAAAGTAATGTTAAAGCGGGTTCACTGGATAGCCTTGTAGTTAAGGCGTTCGCTCGTCAAGCCGAACACCCGGTGTCCCCCGCCATGATATTGCTGGAATATTTCCTGAAAAGCGATGTAAAACAATACTTATTCAAATCGCTTCAAAACAGAAAAATATGACACAAATACATTTTTTTAACGTTAATTTCAAACAAGTCAATTTATTATGTCTGTAGTACATACATATGAAAACATATTGCATGACAAATATACAGAGTTTATCGTACAGTACTGTATTAAATCATTTCTATGTGTGCAATAATACATTTTATCATCTAATGGAGGGTGTTATCGGTGCAATAAAGCAATTTGATAAACGTGGTATCCAAATCTGATAACTATGCAAATTACGTCAATCCATGAACTACTTTCTCAAAACTCCATACACGTCATGCGAATCCTAAAACGTTTTAATATTTCATTGATGACGTCGTCGCGAGTTTACATTGCGTGGACGAGTTTGTAAACAAACATGGCTGTCCCCATTATCAAAATTGGTAATTTTATAAGAATTGATGACAGAGGTTCTGGAGTCGTTACGGCAGTAATTGACTTTCGAAAACATGAAACGGAGTACTTCGTTCAAATTGAAGGTACGGATTATTAGGCACGAGTGACAGGCGATCGTCTAAGAAGGGTACCAACCAAGGATTTCGATCTATCGATCACAACAAAGACGACGACGTGTACCGCTAAGTATTCTTACGCGAGTGCTCGATTCTCTTAATAAATATATTCACGTACGATTTGCTTCTTTATTACAACATTTTTAATAATGACATCATATTAAAAAGAGGTTATTAACCTCGTGTGTTTCCGTATCATTAATATCATATATTAGGAATAAAAAATATGTATTATGCTCGCCAAAGGCTCGCATACTATCATTTTTATTCCTAATTTATGATATTAATGATACGTATCATTAATATCATATATTAGGAATAAAAAATATGTATTATGCTCGCCAAAGGCTCGCATACTATAATTTTTATTCCTAGTTTATGATATTAATGATACGGAAACACACGAGGTTGATAATCTCTGTTTATTATATATTGGTGTTATTTGGACACACAAATCAGTAATAAAAGGTATTTATATATATAGCACCTGTGCATTGCATAACATCATTACACCATATATTTAACACTGCAAAGTCTCAAGACAAACACATTCAACTTGACATGTTCCTGTGGCCCATTCTGACTGCAGTCATATCTGTCTGTCCAGTTCTGGGCGCCGAGGATCGCCAGTAGCAGGATCGGGAGAAAGGCCGTTGGCGAGTCAATGATCAGCGATACATCTTTCGAGGACATGTGTGTAGGATCTCGATCATTCTAGTACTGGGCGCCGAGGCTCGCCAGCAGCAGGATTGAGAACAACCAGAGGGAGAATGAATCAATTGTCAATTGTCAGCGATGGCGGTTTCCAAGTCACGTGTCGCATCCTGGTCATTCTAGTACTGGGCACCGAGAATCGACAGCACGCAGATAGAGAGAAGGATTATGGCGATCAGAAACACCCAGAAGAAGAAATAGTCAATGATGAGCGACACATCTTCCCAGGTCAAGTGGATGGGTTCGGGGAGATCCTGTGGGGAGACCACTGACGGGGAATCCCACCCCACGGGGGTCTTGGTGTCTTTCAAGCGGGTGTTTCCAGGGGGTTGGGATACCAATACGTTACCGTCGGATGGCTTCATGCGTGATTTTTGCCTGTCTGCCTCCCAGAACACAACTCGTGCCATGCACTTGGCGAAGCTTGCGACCCATGGCGGAATAGGACAGGATACTGGGCGGAAGTAGATCACCTGGGAGAACACTGATAGAACTGTGGCCACTGTGCTCATCAACAGCACTGCAGATACATACACCTCTGGAACACACAAAACATGTGCTTGATTGTCACGGAAAACATATTTTGATAAATGAAATATTAGGTATAGCGTTTCACACATTCAAAATTGCGAAGCTCCGGGTTAGCTCTGATCTTCAGAAACCCATGCTTGTATTAAGAGGCGATCGGCTGGACAGACTTTGTTAACACATGTAATCGTATCCCAATAGCGTAGTACGATGCTCAATGGATCAGATGTTAGCATCTGATCTTCAGAAACTAGGGCTGCGCAATATAACCGGTTTACCGGTATTTACCTGTTCAGACATGGAAATTGATACGTATTCGCGATACCCGGATCGAAAACCGGTTTTTCGACATGCATTCGGAAAATTTCGTAACACTCGGAAATCTTCGGATATTTCCGTTTTCACACCGGAAATCAAGTTAAGTTCGGTTTGAAGTTGTGTTCTTAATTGTTGTTCAAGTGTTTCGCAATTTTTGATCTGAATGTTATATATATATTTACTCATAATGTGTTAAGTGATCCCTGATATGTCCTGACCAGGTCAAGTTGCTGTCTAAAATCTCAGGGCTTTTCGAGAATTGAGAAACTAGTTCAAACTAGTAACCACTGTGTTGATGTTAAATTGTTCTTTTCCTTGTTTCCTTCATTTTAACATGATTAAAAGTTTTTATTAAAAGCTTAATCAAGCATAGTGATTTTGTTGTGTTTTTGCTTTATAAATCAAGCATTAACTCGAATTATAAGTAATCTTTATGAAAAATATTCTTGCAATATATTGCAATACGTATCGCAATATATGCTTTCGAATCTGTATATCGCAATATGAAAATTCTCTGCGTAGTACGATATATCAGATGTTAGCCCTGTCAGAAACCCATGCTTGTAAGAAGAGGACAGAATCAGATTGGACCGACTTTGTTAACACATGTTAATCGTATCTCCCAATAGCGTAGTCGCTTGATCAGATGCTCTGATCTTGATCAGATGTATAGTGTTACGTAACACATTTAGACATAGTAGTAACACTACTCACCCAATATAGAAGTATATACAGAGGTAGAAGGCACAGCGTCTGCAAGGATTGTCAATATAACAGTGTAGGCCAAGAGAACAGTTAACGTAAACCCCATCTTTTCTCCAGACCGAGGCGACAGCCTGAAAACGAAGGCTACAAGAATACTGTTGATTAGTACCGGTAGAATCAGATTAATTCCGTGGTAACTTGGAAGCCGCTTCATTGTCACCTGAAGCTGAATGCGTGCATAGGAATCGCCATCATGAACGAACACAGAGCGAGAACTGGAGTGGTCGATCATCTTCCATAACCCATCCTTCTGGTAGAAGTCCGTCACCATCCCATGTCCTAGCACCGTCAGGTTGACCTCCGAAAGGGTGTAACCGAAGCTGGTGATTTCTATGGAGCACGTGTGCGTGTCGAACGGGAAGAAAGTAGGGTCCATGTCACAGGCAGCGGCGATGATCCGCGGTGGAGTCCAGCGGACCCGTCCATGTTCCGTCACCCTCATTGGCACTGCGTCGTCTTTAATGGGGGACAAGTTGTCCACGCTGGGCAGTACAGAAACAGAAATAGGAAAAACTGTTGGTAGCCAATACACTGTATTGTCATATATCGGTGCACGTGCATACTGACATTTATACTTAACTGAAACATTTGGCATTAGCGTATGACATAAAGGAATGAGTGTGAGTGAGTTAAGTTTTACGCCGCATTCAGCACTATTCCACCTATATGACGGCGGTCTGTAAATAATCGAATCTGGACCAGACAATCCAGTGATCAACAACAGGAGCATCGATCTGCGCAATTGGGAACCGATGACATGTGTCAACCAAGTCGGCGAGCCTGACCACCCGATCCCGTTAGTCGCCTTTTACGACAAGCATGGGTTACTGATGATCACTTGTAACCCGGATCTTCACGGGTTTATGGCAGTAAGGTAGGATAACAATATATGGCTAAACAACTTTATTACAGAGTGAGCGACGTTTCGGTGTTATCAAGCAAGTTAAAACTTACACCGAAACTTCGCTCTCACTGTTATAAAAGATAGTTCACCCATATAATGTTATCCTTCCCCACTGCTCTAACTTCAATATGCCTCTCAAAGAAACTTATGACATCAGAAAGTACATTAGATATGCAAATTAGATGAACTGTGGGACGTTTTCTGTGAGAATGCAATTTGATTCGAAATTTACATTTCCGTGAAATTACACCAGAATAGTTGTCATTACCTGTATAAAAGTTTCAATTATTCTTAGTGCTGCGCAATATAACCGGTTTACCGGTATTTACCGGTTCAGACATGAAAACGATACGTATTGCGCTTGTATTTTGACATGCATTCGGAAAACTTCGTAACACTCGGAAATCTTCAGATATTTCCGTTTTTTAAGTTGTTCCTTTCCTTTTTTATTTGGGCCAAATATTATACTCATGCCAATAATGGTTGTCACCCCCTCCCCACCCCAACCCCACCCTCTCCAATTAAAAATTGAATGGGTGACAACCATTATTGGCATGAGTACATTTACATTTGTTGTTTGTCATGCTTAAAAGTTTTTATTAAATCTTAATCAAGCATAGCGATTTTGTTGTGTTTTTGCTTTATAAATCAAGCATTAACTCGATTATACGTATTTTTTTTGTTGAAAAAAAACTTCTTGCAATATATTGCAATTCATATCGTAATATACGCTTGTGCATCGCAATATATCGCAGTATGAAAATTTCTGCAATACCCACCCCTAATTATTCTGCAAAACTCATATTTTTAAGGGACCCGAGGGATTTCTTTTCTTGGCGAATGAATATACCACAAAGGGGTAAACAGGTTGTGTAATTTGGTATAGACGGCAATAGAAAGCAGATCAGGGAATATAGTTATTAAGCAGATCAGGGAATGTAATGATTAAGAAGATCGGTGAATATACTGATTAAACAGATCGGTGAATATAATGATTAAGAAGATCAGTGAATATAATGATTAAGAAGATCAGTGAATATAAAGATTGAGAAGATCGGTGAATTTAAATATTAAGAAGATCAGTGAATATAATGATTAAGAAGATCAGTGAATATGCTGATTAAGAAGATCGGTGAATATAATGATTAGGAAGATCGGTGAATATACTGATTAAGAAGATCAGTGAATATAATGATTAAGAAGATCAGTGAATATAATGATTAAGAAGATCGGTGAATATAATGATTAAGAAGATCAGTGAATATAATGATTAGGAAGATCGGTGAATATAATGATTGAGAAGATCGGTGAATATAATGATTAAGAAGATCGGTGAATATAATGATTGAGAAGAACAGTGAATATAATGATTGAGAAGATCGGTGAATATAATGATTGAGAAGATCAGTGAATATAATGATTGAGAAGATCGGTGAATATAATGATTAAGAAGATCAGTGAATATAATGATTGAGAAGATCGGTGAATATAATGATTAGGAAGATCAGTGAATATAATGATTGAGAAGATCAGTGAATATAATGATTAGGAAGATCGGTGAATATAATGATTGAGAAGAACAGTGAATATAATGATTGAGAAGATCGGTGAATATAATGATTAAGAAGATCAGTGAATATAATGATTGAGAAGATCGGTGAATATAATGATTAGGAAGATCAGTGAATATAATGATTGAGAAGATCAGTGAATATAATGATTAGGAAGATCGGTGAATATAATGATTGAGAAGAACAGTGAATATAATGATTGAGAAGATCGGTGAATATGCTGATTAAGAAGATCGGTGAATATAATGATTAAGAAGATCGGTGAATATAATGATAGAGAAGATCGGTGAATATACTGATTGAGAAGATCGGTGAATATAATGATTGAGAAGATCGGTGAATATAATGATTGAGGAGATCGGTGAATATAATGATTAAGAAGATCAGTGAATATAATGATTGAGAAGATCGGTGAATATAATGATTGAGAAGATCAGTGAATATAATGATTAAGAAGATCGGTGAATATAATGATTAAGAAGATCGGTGAATATATGATAGAGAAGATCAGTGAATATGCTGATTAAGAAGATCGGTGAATATAATGATTAGGAAGATCGGTGAATATAATGATAGAGAACATCGGTGAATATAATGATTGAGAAGAACAGTGAATATACTGATTAAGAAGATCAGTGAATATAATGATTAAGAAGATCAGTGAATATAATGATTGAGAAGATCGGTGAATATAATGATTAAGAAGATCAGTGAATATGCTGATTAAGAAGATCGGTGAATATAATGATTAGGAAGATCGGTGAATATACTGATTAAGAAGATCAGTGAATATAATGATTAAGAAGATCAGTGAATATAATGATTGAGAAGATCGGTGAATATACTGATTAAGAAGATCAGTGAATATAATGATTAAGAAGATCAGTGAATATAATGATTAAGAAGATCGGTGAATATAATGATTAGAAGAAGATCAGTGAATATAATGATTAGGAAGATCGGTGAATATAATGATTGAGAAGATCGGTGAATATAATGATTAAGAAGATCGGTGAATATAATGATTGAGAAGAACAGTGAATATAATGATTGAGAAGATCGGTGAATATAATGATTGAGAAGAACAGTGAATATAATGATTGAGAAGATCGGTGAATATAATGATTAAGAAGATCAGTGAATATAATGATTGAGAAGATCGGTGAATATAATGATTAGGAAGATCAGTGAATATAATGATTGAGAAGATCGGTGAATATAATGATTGAGAAGATCAGTGAATATAATGATTAAGAAGATCGGTGAATATAATGATTAAGAAGATCGGTGAATATAATGAGAGAAGATCAGTGAATATGCTGATTAAGAACATCGGTGAATATAATGATTAGGAAGATCGGTGAATATAATGATAGAGAAGATCGGTGAATATACTGATTTAGAAGATCAGTGAATATACTGATTAAGAAGATCAGTGAATATAATGACTGAGAAGATCGGTGAATATAATGATTAAGAAGATCGGTGAATATAATGATTAAGAAGATCAGTGAATATGCTGATTAAGAAGATCGGTGAATATAATGATTAGGAAGATCGGTGAATATACTGATTAAGAAGATCAGTGAATATAATGATTAAGAAGATCAGTGAATATAATGATTGAGAAGATCGGTGAATATACTGATTAAGAAGATCAGTGAATATAATGATTAAGAAGATCAGTGAATATAATGATTAAGAAGATCGGTGAATATAATGATTAGGAAGATCAGTGAATATAATGATTAAGAAGATCGGTGAATATAATGATTGAGAAGATCGGTGAATATAATGATTAAGAAGATCGGTGAATATAATGATTGAGAAGAACAGTGAATATAATGATTGAGAAGATCGGTGAATATAATGATTGAGAAGAACAGTGAATATAATGATTGAGAAGATCGGTGAATATAATGATTAAGAAGATCAGTGAATATAATGATTGAGAAGATCGGTGAATATAATGATTAGGAAGATCAGTGAATATAATGATTGAGAAGATCAGTGAATATAATGATTAGGAAGATCGGTGAATATAATGATTGAGAAGAACAGTGAATATAATGATTGAGAAGATCGGTGAATATAATGATTAGGAAGATCAGTGTGAATATAATGATTGAGAAGATCAGTGAATATAATGATTAGGAAGATCGGTGAATATAATGATTGAGAAGAACAGTGAATATAATGATTGAGAAGATCGGTGAATATAATGATTAGGAAGATCAGAGAATATAATGATTAAGAAGAACAATGAATATAATGATTGAGAAGATCGGTGAATATGCTGATTAAGAAGATCGGTGAATATACTGATTAAGAAGACCGGTGAATATAATGATAGAGAAGATCGGTGAATATACTGATTGAGAAGATCGGTGAATATAATGATTGAGAAGATCGGTGAATATAATGATTGAGGAGATCGGTGAATATAATGATTAAGAAGATCAGTGAATATAATGATTGAGAAGATCGGTGAATATAATGATTAAGAAGATCAGTGAATATAATGATTAAGAAGATCGGTGAATATAATGATTAAGAAGATCGGTGAATATATGATAGAGAAGATCAGTGAATATGCTGATTAAGAAGATCGGTGAATATAATGATTAGGAAGATCGGTGAATATAATGATAGAGAAGATCGGTGAATATACCTGATTTAGAAGATCAGTGAACATACCTGATTAAGAAGATCAGTGAATATAATGACCGAGAAGATCAGTGAATATAATGATTAAGAAGATCGGTGAATATAATGATTAAGAAGATCAGTGAATATGCTGATTAAGAAGATCGGTGAATATAATGATTAGGAAGATCGGTGAATATACTGATTAAGAAGATCAGTGAATATAATGATTAAGAAGATCAGTGAATATAATGA